AAACAAGTCTTTGTGGGTGAAGTCTGTCCACTTGGTGGCTTGTGTCACATCAGCTGGTGCGTCATGAGAACCAAAGTGCTCTGTGGGAGACAGTGCTAGTCCCAGTGGGGGATGAACTGGGGATCTGGCAGCTTGATGTGACCAGGATGAACAATGAGCTGAAGAAAAATGTAAAATTTGAAAGTGTGGAATTGAAATGTAACTCTAAATGTTACGTCTTGCAAGAAACAGTATTTGTACCACCTCTGAAGTGTGATAGTGCTTCTGTGGCGCTGTCTCTTTGACAGACTCCCCACTGGAACCATGTGGGTTCGAACCATGTGGGTTCTCTTTGTTGTCTCTGTCTTCTTTTTGCCTTTCTGGTATGAGAAATCCAGCAACTTTTTGAGAGAATAGATAAGGAAAAGAGAGGACACAAACTATCTTTTGCCCTCTGTTTGGATGGTTTGCTTGGTACATGGAAGATCCGTGGGTTTTTTTGTTGGGGTGAGTGGCCAGATCATTCTCCAGCCCAATTTAATGTCTGAACAAAGTCAAGCAGCTCGCTTGGAGAGATGAAACAAATGCCTGCTTCTCTGTGAAGCAAGCTGTTTCCTCGGGGTCCAGGCCCTCATTTGAGAGGTAGACACCCCAGCTGCAAACTTCTCTACTGCAGGAGCTTCCCCCTTTGACCCTGACTACAGAGTACCCTTGTTCAACAGTGTATGTGCCTCAAATCATGTAGGTAAGCCACAGCCCCATCAGTGACTTCACTATCCTCTATTCCAATCTTTGGTCTCTCTGCAGTTTCTGATGTTAAAGTGCCAATGCTTCCCTCACACAAACGTACAGACATCACCGTTTTCAAGCCCTTCATGGATCTAGACACTCAGCCAGTCCTTTTTATTCCTGATGTTCACTTTGCAAATCTTCAGCGTGGTGCTCACGTAAGTAAAGCTCATGGGTGTGGGGATGAGGAGCGCTATGGGATATATCTGCAAAAAGCCTAGGATGCTCTATGTACAAAATGGCAGACTATCTGCACTGATGCCATAAACATAGACAGGTTGAGTCTTATGTGAGCAGGAGGCATTGCTCCTAGTCACATTGGCTAGACTTAACTGGGGATATTTTATGAATAAATTATTTGCCTATGAACTCCTGTTTCCATGAACCTGAAATAATGTTTCCAAAGCATCGCTAGTCAAGAGTTCATTGAATGAACTGCAGGCTGGTTTTCTCTTGTAAAATCCATTGGTGCACTGCTGTAGACCTTGGGCTCCTCCAGCCTGCTGCTGCAGGGTGAAAAGCCGTTCTGTGGAACTGGCAAGTGTGTCAGCTCTGTGATCTGCTGCCAGAGTGCCCTGCCTCAGCGTTCCTGGAAAGTCCCAGCTGACAGGAAACTGGAATGGAAAAAATTAGAGTGCAACCAAGTTTCAAAATCTTGAACTTTCCTGTGCTGCTGGGAGTCCTGGCATGCTCTAACAGGATCTAAACAAGAGCATTGCCTAAACTCCTAACAGGGATGGAGAATAATCCTGTATCCGTAAGGCTGATTCTTCTGCATGTTTTCCTCTGAAGGCTCTAGTGCTGAGCTCTGTCACAAGACTACACCAGTCCAGATAGAAAGCTAGCTAGCTCTTGTATGTTCCCATCTCTGTCATCATTGCCCAGGGAATTTGTGGACGCCCCATCCCTGGAGGTGTTCAAGGCCAGGTTGGACGAGGCTTTGAGCAACCTGGTCTCGTGGAAGGTGTCCCTGCCCATGCAGCGGGTTGGTACTCGATGATCTTCAAGGTCCTTTCCAACATGAACCATTCTATGATTCTATGATCTTTAAGGCCCCTTCCAACCTAAACCATTCTATGATTTGAGATCCTCTAACTTCTCTTTATGAAAAGAGGTAAAGAAGATGCTTACTGGTTCTTGGAAGATTGAGCCAAAGTGTTGTTTGATACAGGGTTGAAAGATAATAAGAGGAAATGAATTTCAGTTCTGGATAAAAGCACAAGTATTATTTGTATATTAAAATGAAGGCCAATGTTTATTGCTTGCACCAGAGCATCTTTCTTCTGTTAGCATAGTCATGGCTGGCTCCCTGCTTGACAGCCATGGTTTCCCGTGTCCTGTACTGATATTCTTACAAGTGAGTTGGTAGGTGAGCCATCTGCCTCTCCCTTGCAGCTCCTGCCATGGGCTCAGGGCTTCCTTCTCCTTTAACTGGATGCTGTTGGACCTCTGCTCGTGCCAGATGCAGCAGGATTGTTGTTCCATGCCAGTGATTCTTCAATGCAAACAAAGCTATTGCTAAGTTGCTATTAACAGATAGCACTTAGAGGGATGGGGAGAGCATTGCTGACAAGACCATGTTACACCAGCTAATGGGTCTGTCCTTAAGCGACTTTGTTTTGTAGCTTTCAGAGCCCTCTGTAGTATTTTCTGAGGACTGAGTACCACATAAGGTTCTCAACTAGCTAGCTAATTAATTCAGCATGTGTTTTTCTGCGTACGTCAAGAAAATCTCCCCTTTGTTTTAACAGGTCCTTCCTGTTGCTTCAGAAGAACTGGAGGGTGAAAGGTAAGAGCTGTGCTACTTCAGCCTACTGAAGTCTTGCCCTCGTACAGAGGGATTAGTCCCTGTAATTGTGCTACTGCAAACTTTTTGCCCTGTCAATGACAGCTCCAACCTGAAGAGAGGAGCCTATATCGGAGAAGAGGACTTTATTGCTACTCCGAATAAGATGGCCAGAATAGAAGAACCAAAAAGAGGTATTATCATCTTTTTCAGAAACTGAACTATTGGAGTATTTGTCCATCATTAAAGAGGTGTTTTAATTTATTTTGGAGTATACTTTAGCCTGATCTTTCTGGCTTTGAGTAGTAATAGAAAGAGTTTGTATATCAGGATGTAGTTCAGCTCTGCAAATCTTTTACAGTGTCAGAATTTCTCATTTTTTCTGTCAACTCAGACACTAATTGTCTCTGAACCTGTAAGGAAAGAGACTCTGAGGAGGTGAGCAGCTTACCAATCTCCTTGGTGGATTGATGGAGAGAATTTATCATGTAATGTGCTACAAAATACTTCAGAAACCTTCTCTAGGACTTTAAGCAATGAATGCCAAGAACTAGTTCTGGGTATAAAACTGTTGCATCTTTTATGGTGCCAGAAAATGGGCTGCTCACTGCTGAGATCGAAAGTGAGAGAATATTCTGCTTACTTTTAACCTGTTGTCAACTTTTGCGATTTGATGTGGGATTGAATGTTGCTGCGGTGTTGCGGAAGGAGATAAGAGGTCCCTTAGGAGATGGTGTAGTGGATTACCTGCCTGATGACAGTCGTGTGTGAAAGGACCATGACAAACCTTAAAGGATTAAAAGAGGAGGATTAAACTTGTGATGTGGCAAAGGTGAAGTCTAGCAAGTCTGACCTTAATGGGACTGCACATCTGCAGTCTGGATAAACTAGTAAGGAAAGATGGATTTTATAAAAGGAAATTAGACTTCTTGTTTTTTGTTGTAGCTGGATGCCATAAAACGAGACCCATGGGATTCTCTCTCCTTTGGCTGGTGTGTCATCCAGCCTGTGCTGTAACTGAGAGTATGTGTGCTGTCTTCATGTTTTAAATCTACAGTCCCTTTTTAAGCCTGCCTTTAGCAGAGGAAATCCATCAAGGTGCTGTGTTGTCCTGAGATCACCTTGTTCAATTAGATGTGCCAGTAATTGTTCTCTGTTGCAGGTGTGTCAAAGCTGTGGCTGATGAACCCTGGTAAACAATCCAGGCTGCAATACCTAGTCATTAGAAGATGGATTAAAGACAGCAAAGCTGTTAGAGTCCAAGCTTTCTTGCTCTCATGGCTTATTCCTCAGCCTTAATGCAGTTTTGATGATGCTGATGTTACGTACAGTGACTCTCTGCTAGCTTGAGAACGCTAGGGTTGCTTACCTAATTGGGTTTCTCATTCTTTCATTCCTCTCCTAGCAGGAGACTAAGTCTGCGTTGTGTATCAGCTGGGGTGGTATGAGTATTACTGAAACATGGCAAGGGGCAGGAACAGAAATGAGACAGCGTAGGAGGAGCAGAGGACCGTACAAATAAATTATTTAAAAATGAGGAGGTGGCCAGGATGGCTTCACCTGCTGTGATAGCATGTGTCAAATCATTTTATTGTGCAATGTCTTATGGCAGATGACCTGTGAAATACGGATACACAAGAGTCTCAAAGCTGTGTGTGTTGCATTCCACCTTTCTGTGTTTCAAATATAACGTTTTTCTTTCAAATAGAGAAAATAGAAAATAGAGAATAATTCAGAAGTATTTTGACAATAAAGGTGTTTGAGCACACAGTATTTCTGTATGCAAAAAGTATGTTTTGAGCTAACCTAGCTATGCATGATTTTGATGCAGTCTGCAATGTATATTGAATATATGTATGTATATCTTTTCATGAGTTCGTCAATGTATATTATTCTGTACCTAGCCATTACCATATACGGATCGTTTTTGAGGAGCAATTATGGAGTAAATTCCTCGCTCCAATTTGTTTTTCAGTGTTGCTGTATGTCCGAAAAGAGTCAGAGGAAGTCTTTGATGCATTAATGTTAAAGACACCGTCTCTGAAAGGTCTAATGGAAGCGGTAAGTAAAAAGGCTGTTTAATAGTCCTTGCCACAAGTTTGAGAAAAATTGCGTGTAGTCCCTTGCTATCCAGTCCTTATACACCGGGCAGTCACAGGAGCTGGACTCTCAGTTGCAGCTTGCGTCCACATATTCCTGCTCTTCTGGATAAGAAGCATAAGGCTGATTTCCTTTCAATAACATGGAAATTAATGTAAATAATGCTTTAATTCATTATGAAGGGACTTCAGGAAGCTTCCCTGTTAAGTGTCTTACCCCACATCTGTGGGGTTTGGGTGTAAGAAGGTGTTGCTCAGCCTTCTTGAAAATCCAGGTGTGTCAAGTTTGATGACTGGATACTTGAGATAGTCCCAAAATGACAGGCACAGTTGGAGAAGAGCACCTTCTAGGCTCACCTCTTAGGCAGTCACAAAGCTGCAGAAGCAGCTGTGTAGGTCTCTTCCTGGCTGCATCAAAAAAACGATCAACAGACTCCTGCTGTGGATGTCCCTCAGGTCAGAGAGGGTATTTTAATGAGAAGATGGAGGGATTTTCAGAACATGTTCAGTGGTTTGGGTTTATTTCAGTCTTTCAAAGCCTTGTTTGAGGGCCTCCCCTTCCCTTCCATAACCTGCTTATGAAGAGGTTCAAGTCCCAGCTTCTGAGTGTTCTTGAAGACTTTTGTGTATCTGTGCACACGTGTGAAATTGCTCTCTGGTGCTTGACTTCCAAAATAGCCTTCCACTACCCCTGCTGCTGCAGTGCTGCAAAGGAAATACAGAGCTTAACTCCAAGGAATGGTGTAATGTTTGGCATGAGCTCAAAACTGACGTTTCTGGCTGCCTCTTTCTGTGACTAATGCCTCATCGATGCTTAGAGGACAGAGGCTTTGGCGCTGCACAGCCAGGTCTTGCTGTTAGCTTTGGGACCCAGAGATAGTTCTGTAAGCTCAAGCTTCCTGGCTGTGGGGCTTTGCCAGCACAGGCAGGCTGAGGATGGGGGCTAATGGGGAGGGAGAGTGAAGTCTGTGAAGTCCTCTCCTACCCTGTGGTCCTGAAGTGAAGCTACTTGGAGGAAACCTCCTGTGTTTTTCCATCCTGAAATGGCATATTGGCTTGGTACTTGCTGTCAGTGTGGTAAGGGCAATTTGCCGAAGTAAACCGCGCTTAGGTTACTGACCTCATGACTTCCTGGGGGTTTGTACAATGAAGTGACATGGTTAGTGGCTGTGGTTTCACACTGAGGTCACCCTGCTGGACAAGGGGGACACTTCTGATCAGCTCCTGTTCTTAGGTCTTTGCTCTGTTGCTGTTTTCGTCCTGTGCCAGCTGCTGTGATGACTAGTTTTCACCTGATCCCTCTGACACTGAATTTAAAAATGGTTTCCGATATGCTAAGAGAACGAAGAGCCAAGAGAGGATGAGAACCAGGGTCTGGGGTGTTGGTTTTTTTTTTTGCGTGAGTTTTTCGTTGTGGGGGCGGGGGGTTGCTGTATGAGAAGTCAGTGGCCAAGTTTTAGAACACGATTAAATTTTTTGCGCAGAAGTTGGCATACTTCAGAGGAGGGGTTCTTATCTGTAGGCTTGTGCTGTAGTTCAGGATTTAGTATTGCCTTTATAGGGCAGAGTGGTTGTTTTGATTTTCAGGCCTTTTATTGTTCCTTTCTGCAAAATAGTAAGTGGAGGGCAGTGCCAGCAGCCTCCTTGCTTCACAAATGCTTTTTTTCCCTTTTGTTCTAGATATCTGACAAATATGACGTTCCTTTTGATAAAATAGGAAAAATCTTCAAAAAATGTAAAAAAGGGTGAGTACGTAACTGTCTGAGAACATGAACTCCTTTTTTCAAACTTGTAGGCAAATCTGCTTTGTAATTCCTCCATGTGCTGCACAATTCAAGTGCCATTTGTGTATGTGTGTGTGGATGCACTGTACTAATCCTATTCCAATGTCGTTCATAGAGCAGAAGACCAGAAGGGTCCTGTAGAAATATGTAATGTGACTTCAGTAATTTTCTTGGTGTTTTGTTGGTTTGTTTTTTTTTTCTAAAATCACTTTGGTGCCTTAGCCCCTTCCCCAAAGCCTCTCTGGCTGGAAAAATACATCCTTTAATCACCTTTGGAATGTAGTTTCAAGGCTTGCGCTTTCATAGCAGAATTAACCCGCCAGAATAACTGCAAAAGGTTTGAACTGATGGTAGCTAAACAGCTGCGAAGGACAGCTTTGTGTGTGTGTGTGCGCACATGCGCACTCGTGTCCACACACAAACGCACAGGTATTGACAGTCGTAGCAAATGACAGAAGCGGCCAGGCATTGGCTGTTTCTTCCCTGCAAGCTCTGTAGGGTTTTGTGCTGATTGTTTATAGCTGTCAAACAAACCAGTTCAGAGCCCCAACATTGCCCAAGTGTCTGCAGCTTTAGAAGTATTTCTGCTGGTTCTGAGATCGCCCTCTCTGGTCCGGGAGCCAGAGTTAACCCTTTCGTTCAGATCCTAGAAGTGCAGCTGCAGGCCTTGATGGCAGGTTCGGGTAAGAACAGCCAGATCTGCTATAGGAAGCCATGGGTCAGAGATAGGTGAGCAGGGACCTTGCGTTACCTCTGGACGGTCGAGGCTCTCTAAGATTTGAGGGCACTTTTGCTGTCTTCAGCATTCAGAATGGTAATACTTCTCTGACTTATTTTTATTTTTCCAGAATTCTGGTCAACATGGACGATAACATTGTGAAACACTATTCTAATGAAGATACCTTCCAGTTGCAGATTGAAGAAGTTGGAGGATCTTACAAGCTCACTCTCACTGAGATCTAAGATCACGGGTCCTCTGTGGATTTTAAACAAAGGTCTCAAGTGAACATTTTCCCATAAATTAGGATGTTGGGCAAAACACTAATTGCCATCTCCAGAAGAAAGCCAGGCATTGACTTGTTCTGGGGAGCAGAGCAGTGTTTTAGCTTAATGCATTTGTGCTTCTGTTCTTTCCAAAGAACGTTGTAATGCTCATGACCTTATTTGCACTTGAAATGAGCGAGCAAAGATCGGCGATTAAATCGAGAGCATGTATAAAACACTAGTAAATACGGGAGGGGAAAAAACCCTGGAAGGTGGCCTTTTAGAGTGGTGATATCTTATTTATCTATTCAGTATCCATGTTTGAGCCTGTTATCAGCTAATACCATTTTATTGGACTGTTTTCTGCTAGAGGTAGAGCTGCAAAACTACTAATTGATACTAGTAGGAATTGCGTGCAGGTTGGAGAAAAGTCTTTATAATGTTTACTCTTGAACAGGGGCAGACTGTTGAAATCACTTGTGTCATTTGGGGGGAATGTAAAACTGCCTTGCTTATGAAGAACTCGCCTTAGTAACTGTGTGAACTCTCATCAGATGAAGCTATATTGTATATAAGTGCAATATATTTTTGAAGGTTTGTAAATGTGTACATACAAGTGATATATAATATATATATAAAATATGGTGTTCTGTATATACCGTGAATATATGCAATGAAGCCCATCTAAAAGGATGCCATATACAGAGAAAGCAGATATTTAACATAACTATTTAAAAACGGACAAACCCTTAACACGCACCAAAGGTGAGCACACGTTTGTACGTTTGTAGAAGGCACAAGAGACCTGTTTGTTCAACATGGATCTTCCTACACGGAAGGGAAAAGGTACCAGCTCTCTCCTAAACCCTCCTGCACAGCAAGGTGACAGCAGTTCTGGCTTCTCTGATGGACTGCCAGTTTGAGCCCCAAAACGGCTGTGTACTGCTGCCCTGGGAGGTAATTTGGGCCGAGTCTGAGAGCTGGGTCCCAAGAGGAGCTGAGCAGGTGCAGTTTCCTTGAAATCTCACTTCTGGGGGTCAGGAAGAAGGTCTCCTGGGGGGTGGATTTTATTTTTTTTTTCTCCTTACTTTTTGGTAGCAGTGTACTTCAGGCTCAGCTGAATGCTACCCACAGCAGCAGCTCAGGCTGGATGAACTCATGGGTCTGAGACAGCTTGCAAGTTCCTAGGATGCTGACAACTGGAAGTGCACAGGCAAGGCTTTTGAGAGAGGAAGGCGGCACCCCGGCTCAGCAGGCCAAGTGTTAGCAGGGACTAAGGGCTGCAAGCAGGTTAAATGTTCCTGGTGTGTGTACGTCGCCAGGCATTGACCTGCTGCCGAGGTGGAAAGACCAGACAGGGGCAGCTGGTAGCAGGTGTCCTGAGCCTAACCCCAGCTGGGAGTGCCAAACACCTCCAAAAAATACTGCTCTGCAGTAGATTGTACAGTATTTACTCATCGCGTGCATGTGCTTATGAAGGAAGGGCACCCTCCAGTTACTAGCAAGTGAGAGAGGAGCATTTAAACAGCAGTAGTTGGCTCTCAGGCAGAGCCTGCATTCCAGGGTGAGCAGACAAGTGTGAGCACCAGGTCCAGTGCCAGTGATTTTGTTGGGGACCTGAGTAATGAAAGAGAGGTTGAGAACAGTTTCAGACAGCACAAAGCTGGAAAGAGCTGCAGGTGCATCACCTAGGATGTGAAGGTCAATCTGGATAGGCTGGAGAAATAGTCTGGAAAAGCAGGATATGATTCTACTTAATGGTTAACGGTTCTACTTAACAGTTAACAAGTTGTAACCAAATGTTGTTCAGCTGTGTCATGCTGCTGTTTGGAAAAGGGAGGTAAATACCATGTTGAGTTGATAAACAGGAGCATGACCTGCAAGGAATAGGAGACCCGCCTTTTGCTCTACTTGGCATCGCCGAGGCCTCTGCTGGAGCGCGGTGCCCTGTGCTGAGGCTGGCCCTTCCAGCAGAGCCTACTCCTATCTGATGTCCCAGAGAGGCCAGACCACCCGTTCCTCCAGACAGAGCTCGTGGCTTGTGAAGAGGAAGGTTTGGCTGAGTTGCCTGCTGGAGGACCATCTTCAGAAGAGAAAGTTGAGGGGAGCAGCCTCCCAACATGTGGAAGTGCTCTCCTGGACCATCGCAAGCACAGTGAGAACTAGTGGGTGTAAATTGCAGAAATTCAGGTTAGGCATTGAGGTGGTTTTCGCTAGTGAGAAGAGCAGGTTGCTCAGGGAAGTGGTGGAGTTTGGCATCAAAGGTCTTTAGAGCCAGGCTGGATGGACATAGCTCTGGTCTCTCACAGGTATATTTGATTCTCCCTTGGTGCTGAGACTAGGTGACCACTTGAAGTCCCTCCCCGCCATATTTTTTAATCATGTACATGAAATATAGTATTTTGGGATTTGTGTTCGGAGCAATCCTGAGCAGGTTCATAGACCGCTCCATTTGCCCCTCCTTCCTTCTCCACTGACGGGCCCCACCGAGGCTTGTGAGCACTCTGGGCACCGCCTGGTCCCCTCTTCACTCTGAGGCTGGAGTCAAGCAAACTCCGCATGGATGTATCCGTGACTGTGGGCACATGGACGGAGCCTGTGGGCTTGAAGCCGAAGGAGAGAGGCCAGCACACAGCACAGTGCTGAAGAGTCTTGGCCAACATGTGCCACCCCGTACAGGAATCCACCGCCTGCAGAGCAGAGCAGCCCCAGGACTCGTACCCAGCCCACCAACCCGCCCCTCGGGCTTCCCTTCAGCAGTCACGGGGAATAACGTTACTATGGCAAGGGAATTTTTTATTAAGCCTGATATATAGAATACATATATATATTTACACATTTTTATTGAAAATGGAAGTTTTATTACAGAAACTCAGTCTAGGGTCAGGGAAGTAGATTTAGAGTCTCTATAGAGGTAGGACTGATATGAATGTTATTTCTTTTTACTGCTTAATGAAGTATGTGAACTAAACCTGATGATTGTTTTCCACTATAAGATATTCTGGGACACGGGTCTTACAACAGTAGCAGCAATGTCATGTATGTTTTATGAAACTGATTTTTTTGGTTTTGCCTGCTGTTTTTTAATTGAAAAATGTATTTTAAACCAAGCTATTAAATTTTATATGTTCATTTCTAATGATGAGTCTTTTATCTAGTAAACGCGTCTGTCCTTCCCCCTTTATTTTTCCTTTGACAGGGGATCTACAAAACAAAACCTCAGTGATTGTTTAGTAGTTTCTTTGCAGAAGAAAATAACGACAGTGCCATCCTTGCTGTTATTCCCACGTAAGGAATGATTAGTCCCATTCTCATTCCCTGCTTGTTTCAACTCCTCTCGTTCATTTTT